GGGGCGAGGGCGGGGAGGGCGAGGGAGGAGACGAGAGGACAGACGTCAGTCAGTGAGAGGGGACGACGGTGACAACAGAGGCGGGCCGCGAGTGGCGCGTCTGGTGGCGTGATTGCGCGTGTGTGGTAGGGTAGCGTGCGTGTGCTGGCATCACGCAGCCTTTATCGTGCACGGTACGGTGGTGAGAGCCAGAGCGGGACGCGGACCATGGACTCCGCGCAACACTACGGACCCGGCACCTTTGGAATGGCAGGTGGCACAGTGATGCAAATGGGGTTCACGAGTGGCCATAAATACCCAAAAGTCAAGTTTACCAAATCGAGTTAATTGCGATATGGCCGAGTAGACAAATGTTTGGGGCATCTGAAATCACATGGTTTTCATGTTTTTGTCAAAACCGGCCTCGTGTATAATCGTCAGAAGTCGTGACATTTTCTAGGTCGTAAAATGACGGTCAGACACTCGCAAGTTCAAACGCCGCTGGTTTGCGTTCATTTCGTACAAATTGAAAAAATTATGCATGGAAATGATCCCCAAAGCCTTCTGCTTCTAATGCCGGGTCACAAAAAGCCGTATCTCATTCGCTTTGGCGGTAATCTGACAATTATTTATCATCATGTTGCAATCGCAGTTTTTTACTAATAAAAAATGCTTTCGTTTCACCTACAGCACTTAACACAGTGTGTGCCCGTTAGTCCACCATACCATATCCCTAATCATTTCTGAGTCGCATCGCGGAAGAATTAAGGTGCTAGCACAGGGCTGACCGGCGCTACAGAGGTTTTTGTCCGGGCGGTCGGGCGCCGCAGTGGGCGGGTGGGTGCCGCCGCGCGGCGTCCGGGCGGCGCGGCGGCGCGGCCGCCCGGGCCGCCCGCTGCGCCGAGGCACCCGACCGTGCCGGACGAAAACTTCTGTAGCGCCGGTCAGCCCTGTGCTAGCGCCTTAATTCTTTCACTAGGCGACTCAGAAATGATTAGGGAATGCTATGATATGGTGCACTAACGGGCACACACTGTGTGAAGTGCTGTAGGTGGATTGAAAGCAAATATTTTTGGTAAAAAACTGCGGTTGCAACATGATTACAAATAGTTAGCTCACCGCCAAACCAAAATAGATACGGCTTTTTATGACGTGGCATTAGAAGCAGCAGGTTTCGGGGATCATTTTCATGTATATTTTTTTGCAGTTTGTATGACATGAACGCACGCTAGCGGCACTTGAATTTCAAGTACCTGACAGTCATTTTACGACATCGAAAATGTCTCGACTTCTGACAATCATACACGAGGCCGGTTTTGACAAAAACATTAAAATCATACTTTTTCAGACACCCTAAACATTTGCCTGACTGACCATATTACGATTTATTCGATTAAGTGAACTTGAATTTTGGACCTGTTTCGTATTTATGGCCACTCGTGAGCCCCATTTGCATCACTGTGGGTGGGTCCGGTCCGCCGGTATCTGCATCGTAACCACGTGCTGTGTGCAGTGTCGTTGGCTGTATGTATCGTGTTCGGCGACTGACCTGGGAATGTTAGGTCAGTTCGGTACCAGGCCTGGCAGAGGCCGGTTCGGACAGAGGCCGGTTCGGTGAGGCCGGTGCGGACAGAGGCCGGTTCGTGAGGCCGGTGCGGACAGAGGCCGGTTCGTGAGGCCGGTGCGGACAGAGGCCGGTTCGTGAGGCCGGTGCGGACAGAGGCCGGTTCGTGAGGCCGGTGCGGACAGAGGCCGGTTCGTGAGGCCGGTGCGGACAGAGGCCGGTTCGTGAGGCCGGTGCGGACAGAGGCCGGTTCGTGAGGCCGGTGCGGACAGAGGCCGGTTCGTGAGGCCGGTGCGGACAGAGGCCGGTTCGGCGAAGCCGGTTCGGCGACTGACCTGGGAATGTTAGGTAAGTTTGGTACGAGGCCTGGCAGAGGCCGGTTCGGACAGAGGCCGGTTTGGTGAGGCCGGCTCGGCGACTGACCTGGGAATGTTAGGTCAGTTCGTTACGAGGCCTGGCAGAGGCCGGTGCGGACAGAGGCCGGTTCGGTGAGGCCGGTGCGGGCAGAGGCCGGTTCGGTGAGGCCGGTGCAGACAGAGGCCGGTTCGGCGAGGCCGGTTTGGCGACTGACCTGGGAATGTTAGGTCAGTCCGGTGCGAGGCCTGGCAGAGGCGGGTGCGGACAGAGGCCGGTGCGGTGAGGCCGGTGCAGACAGAGGCCGGTTCGGCGAGGCGGTTCAGTGACTGACCTGGGAATGTTAGGTCAGTTCGGTACGAGGCCTGGCAGAGGCCGGTTCGGACTGCGGCCGGTTCGGTGAGGTCGGTGCGGACAGAGGCCGGTTCGGCGACTGACCTGGTAATGTTAGGTCAGTGCGGTACAGGCCTGGCAGAGGCCGGATCGGCGACGGACCTGGGAATGCGAGGTTCGCACGGCGGGCGACACGACGGGGTCTGAGTGACATGGCTTGGATATACGTTAGGTCAGTTCGGTGCGTGACCGGGCAGCGGCCGATTCAGCCCTGACCTGGGAACTTGGGTCGGGCCGGTGGGCGAACGGGTCAAAGGTGACCGCGGGGGTGAGCGGATAATGCCCCGGTTTTACTTGGTAATGGATCGGTTTGAGGTTGGCCTGGTATAACGTATAGTGGTCTGCCCGGCGAGTGGGTTTGGCGGCATTCTCCCACGACACGGCCAGAGCGGCTCGGCGTCGGACGCTGGTTGCGGCGCCAACGGGCGTCGGTCAACGGGCGCGGCACGCCGCAGACGGCCTGTCACCGTCTGGGGATCCGCTGGTTTATGTCCACAGCTGGTTTATGAGCGCTGAGGCCTCTTGCACCAAACTACCTAGCTAGGTAAAATCGAAAAAACCGGTTTCAGAATAAGCTAATCTAACGGTGGTAAATTTATTTGCAATAGCCCAATACATAATCCTACATGTGCTTGCTAAATTTTGCACGCAAATTGTTACATTTGAGACTTGGACTGGGTATACGATGCAAAATAATCCAAGCATTGGTGCAAGAGGATTTTGGTGCAAGAGGCCTCAGGTGTCCTTTTATGGCACCGTATCCAGCGCCGTCCGGGGCCGTCGCGAGGCGTGTTATATGACCGTGTTGGGGGACCGCCGCGCCGCGCCGGGCCGGCCGAGGCGGGGCGGCGGCTAGGCGGGGTCGCCGCCCTCGTTGGGCTCGGACGGTCGGCTGGGAGGAGGAGGGGGGTCCCGAGGGGGAGGGGAAGGCGAGACGAGTATGACAGTCCTGAGACAGTACAGGGACCGTCGTGATACAGATTAAACTGATCACTCGGTGATAATCGTCCTTTGTGTAGCATTGACTTGGACATCGACGACGCCTCACCGGTGAAGTGACGGGGCGGGGTGGGGACGGGGGGTGACGGAGACGAACCGACGAGGGCAGACGAGTAATCTGAGATACGGCTGTTATAAGATCATGCAGTAGACTGGCGGTCGGCCATACGGAGTGAAATAACACAAGGCGCGTAGCATTATTGATGCTGATTGGCACGGCTTCAAACGCTGTTCTGGTTAGGTTAATGCATCACCACATCCCATTGTTACGGCTGTACTCATTGCATGTGTAAAAACGCTGATTGGGGGCCACCGGTCCCATAAATAACGGAATTACGCACTTGTTCATTGGACCAGCTGATCGCTGCATCCGGATCAGCTGATCGGGAAGCCCTTTAAACTGGCGTGTAAGTCGGCATTTAAACATTTACCCGCGTGTAGCTACCCGCGAGTTATTCGCGGATGGAAGTCTCCGGGTAAAAGTTGGTGGGCAGCTACACGCGTGTAAGGAAGTTAGCCACCAAAATAAACGCGAGTTAACCGCAAACTGGAAGTCTCCAGCCTAAATGTGATTTGATGATGCACCATGTTGAAGAAAAAGAAACAAACTCGGGACTAATGTTGGTTGGAACAGACAGACTGAGTAGATGGATGTCTTATGGAATTGATCCAGTTAGTCTACGGTTGGGGTGATGGATTGCGGGCGTGGGCTGGCACCGGGTTGGGCTTGGTGCCCTGCTCTGCCGAACCATGCCAGCAGCCCGCCACTGGGTTGGTTATCGTCGGCTGATGGTACCAGTGCCGGTCCGCGCTGATACTCCCCGCTGGGGTGACAGTGCTACTCCGTCCTCCGATGTCTATTCTGCGGATATTCCCATATGTGTACCTCCGCAGCCCCTCAGGAAATCCGCGGCGCTCTCCGGTGATACCCTCGCTCAGATTGTTTCGAGATTGTTTCAGCACCGCCCCCGCCAAACTTCCGTCGGGCTTTTCTGCGTAATGCGCGTCTAATCGAGCCGGTTCGGCTCACCCCGAATGCCCAGGCAAAGTTTCCACCGTAGGGAAAAACATGTTATCAAATAAAGACAACTTTGGAGTCTTTTATTATGATGCTGAACTTGCTGGAGGGTTCCGCCACTGAAATGGCAGGCAATAAAGTGTGCGGTGCAGGGGGTGTTCCTGAGTGAGATGATACTTCAGTCCAGGAAGTTGACGGCTGGAAACCATGTGGTGTTGCATTCAAACGTTGTTTTTTAAATATGAATTTAGCTATAAATATTGAATAATATTTTTGGTGTGCACATGAATGCTAAAAGCGTCATGACATTTATGAAATCCGATGCGATTATGCACATTTCGTCCATCCATCTTTGCATCATTACCACAGCACACTGTTTGTCAGTTTATTCGCGGCTTGTTTCTTCGTCTATTGCAAGATGCCGTTTGCCGGTACTGCTTGCATAATACATGCTAGGAAAATGTTTCTTTGATGTCTCTCGTCTTTGACGACGATAGTTGACACTCGACAGTGTGTTTGGATGAAAGTAAACCGTGTCCCTTCTGGTCTGATGTCAAACTATCTCTTTTTTCCCCAATATATAATAACTACACCCAGGCGCGAAAAACGTTCCTAATTAAAAGAGTTCATTAAATATCCCTTTTTCTCTCCCCTCAAGGCCCGCTAACTATCCTTCTTCCTCTCGCCCTACAGACTACATCCAGGCGAAGCTCATTAACTTTCCCTTCCCTCTCGCCTACAGACTAATCCAGGCGAAGCTGTCAGTCCGGATTGGATGACGAACGGTCACGATCCCGACTTTGTGGCCACCGACTTTGAGTTCTACAACTGCAACCGGTACCAGCAGTGCAGCCAGTGTGTGAGCGCGCCTTTCCCGTGCGACTGGTGTGTGGACGGACACCGGTGGTACGCAACGACACGGCCCGAGAACTGCCGCAAACGACATCCTCGTCACAGACCTGAAGGTAAGGGAGGAGAGAAGAACTGCCGCAACGACATCCTCGTCACAGGACTGAAGGTAAGCGGGGAGAACTGCCG